TTTAGTTTTGAATATAGGTTTTGTGAAAATAACTTCTTTATATTTAATTGCTAAATTGTATATTCTATTAATTGTTCTAATTTTCAAAAATTATTATAATGAATCATGAATAAATATGTATTTTGATGTATAGATACATTTTCTGCATTTACTGTTTTGTGACTTAAAATGTATTTTATATTTAATTTAGTTTGCATTTTTCAATTTATTAATGATTTTATAATTATATATATTTCAATGCGAGAAGTGGAATGATTATTTTATTTTTTGATTATAATGAATATGATGAAGTAAATTGAATTGTGTAGTAGTAATACGAACGGGTAAATCATATAATACAAATGCAAACAATCAGTGAAATGATAATTTAAATAAATTAAATATCAAATCTGTTATTAATGGGTGTAAATTAAACAAATTTATTATGTTTTATAATGTGTATAATACATAGTATAATTCATATCATAACTACAATAAAATTAATATGAGCTGTATTTTTTATATTTCAGAAAGGAATATGTAAAATTTCATTGAAAATACTCGAAATATCAAATCACATTAGAAGATTTGTTCCATAGATCATAAATATTATATTAATCTCTTTCAAATATTAAGAGTTTTAGTTTTCGTAATCATTTATATACAATCCGTGTATGTATAAATACTAAAGAAAAATTGTAATGTTTTTCTTTTTTTGTATTCTTTATTTTTTTTTTTTTTTTTTTTTTTTGTCCGTGTATATATTAGTACTTAAGTCGTGTTTTAATGAATATAAAATTAATCCTGATCCTGATATATTTTTTTATCATTGTTTTTAGCCAAGTGGTTAGTGTAGGTGTTATAAATATTTTAATATCATGTACATGTATAATATTATATTCAAAATGATGACTCACGCTTAGCAATGTTAAATTGTAAGTTTGTATTATATTATTATGATGATAATTGATATCAAAAACATTAAACCAAATAGTAAAAATACTTAACACAAAGTGTTGAATTTCCATTTAATCATGTGGAGTTTTTACTCGCATGTATTAAAAAAACAAAAAAATATTGTCTATACACATCAAATTTAAAATTCAACGATTTTTGTTGTCTTGTAGAGTGAATATCTGCGTAGACCAACGGATATAAATAGTGAAAACACAGATATCTACATATTTCGTAGGAATGATATGTTTTTGTATAGCACGTGAACGGGTGAATTGTGCAACGATGTATAACGGTAACGATATGAATCAATCTACGAATATAATATGTACATATATCTATATGTAACAATGTAATTATACTTGTGTTTGCTTGTACACAACTACTGTGTGGCGCATTATGTATCTGTCTTAACGTTTCAGCGACTTGAGTATAACGTGATATTGTAATAGCATGAAGTGTGTGCGTAATAAAACGTTGGCGTAATACCTATAATATGATTAATGCGTAAATCACCCAAACCGAAAAAAGTTAATATAAGGTTGACGGTAAGTTGGTATTGCTCTGCTGTACAATAGGCGTCGTGTAATAATTATTAGTGGCTAGTTGTTCACTGAGTAATGGATGTGTGAAATTTGAATTCAACTTTGTCTCATTGTGTACAAAAACGATTTTGGACAGAGACGATCTGTTAACTTAGAAGGTATTATATTATATTTATATTGTTAGCTACCATTAGATTATAAATTTAATATTTAACTGTTTCAATAGTACATACCTAATATTAATACGATATGTTATTGTTTCGAACTTATGAGTCAATACTCCGTCTTACCGTATAGTGGTGTGAACACGTTTGTGGTATAAATAGACATTAACTTAAAATTAACTTAAACGTTATGAAAATGTAATTTATGTGTATAAAACACAATAAACGTTAAAGTTTCCAATTCACACGAATAATATTTTTAGATCGTGATAAAATTAAAATTTTTATTCCTCATTTAAATACATAATTTAGTCCTTATTTGATCTTCAAACGGCTATAAAATAAAAATTTAAATGATTTACATTATACATTAAAATATTACTTATATATATTTTTAGGTTTTAAAACCAATTATTTATAATAAAAACCTTGTATTCCATTTTTAAGCTTAAGCTATAAAATTGAAATAATATTTGAACTTCAATGCCTATTATTAAATGTCGGTATATTATGTATCTTTAATATTTTTAAATAGCTCCAAAAATGACTTATAATAAGCACATTGTTATTAAATTTTCAAACTATGATCGAGCAAAAATGATTTTGTAGACAATTATTGAAAAAAATATTACATTTTTTAGTTTTCTGTAAATAGTTTTTAAAAATTTAAAAATATTTTTAAACTTACGTTGTCTATAGGAAATGTTAATATACCTAAACATTTGATGAAAATTTGAAATAAATCTACGGTTATTCGTTTTTGAATTACAATTAAATAAGAAAACCGATTTTGTCGAATAGGTACCGGTTTTGCATAAATAATCCCATTTTTCCTTGATTTAGGTTTTGAGAGAAGGATATTGATTTTGTAATGATCTATTTTTTCTGCGTCTGTAAACATTATACAAGTTAAGTATTAAAAAATGGCTCGCTTCTCATTTTTGAAGGGGGTTTTAAGTTTTGTTCGCGAATTTGATTTAATTTGTACTTTTATTCATTTGTTTAATCGTTTATTTAATTATGTCACATTCCGATCCAGCGATGAAGGTTTTCTCTTCAATGCCTTATATTTCAACTGCGTCTGAAGCCGAGTTCAAGGCGGCACCGTCTGCTTGTATGGTTCTAATCGAGCCAAACAGATCATCGACATGTTAAATAGGTAATGATTTCTTTAGTCAACCAAAAATATATTTACAGTTCAATGCCCGTTAACAATATTCATAGCGTCTGAATCCCCGACAAAGACACCACCGTACTCCTCAATGGAGGATCGAACCAACCGAGTTAATATGGCTGCCCGGTTTGTTAGAGGCAAATTATGGTTTCGCAGGTCGACTAAAAAGACGTTACAGTCCGATTCCTTATAATATAGTACTTATTTATATGTCGTTTAAATCCTTGATCAATACGGCGTACGCCTCAACGGTTCGGTCGAGTAATAACGCCAGGCGAAACTCGACGTGGAAAGTCATGATTTAGTTGCCCCGTTGATAAATATCGCATAAAATACGTCTGGGGCCGCCGGCAATGAGTTCCTGCATAGTAGCTTGGTTGGTTTTTTCCGAGCCAAATGGACCGAACAAATACAAAGTGACAATAAGCAAGGAGATATCGATGGTCACATTACAAAAACCATCACGTTCCCGGATAATAAAACGATGGCGTGTAGATTCGATGTCTAGATAGGTACCGTTTATCTCGAGGGTTTAAATGGAACCACAAGACCCGGAAATAGTGGAAAGAAGCTGTGTCATGTAGCATGGCTGTCCATTTCCGAGAGGTATGCTCCTGTGACTCCGAATTTTGTAATGAGAAGACCTGAAGTGACGTATGTAACGGTTAATTGTGAACGTTTTACGTTTTATATAGTAGATACTGGACGGAAAAATGTATGGAAAAACGGAAATGTTCATGTTAAACCAATTTTCGACGAAATCGATTTCTTTAATAATATGTTACAATTCAAAAATTAATAACCGTAAAAACTTGAAATTTTCAACAAGTGTTTTAAAATTTGTATCATCATTCTCCGTACAATCATACATTTTAAAATATCATGGTTCTTGATTTCTTTTTTTCCCAACTTACTAAGTAAAGTATAGGGAACTTTTCATTTTTGATCGTCCCCAAAGTATCGATTAGATTCGATTTCATACTAGAAAAAATATCGCGTCAAAAATCTAAGGATTTTTACTGCTGCAACAGTTGATAACAGACACAAATAAAAATACACATATAATTATTTTAAATTAATACATTTGTCGTTCCTCTCAGAATCTAAAATGTTTTTGTATACAGAAATATTGTCCGAGCGTAACGCTGGATATTATAAAATATAATTATTTTGGCTGGCAACTGAACGAAATCGCGGTGAATTGTTACTCGTTGTTGGTATAAATTTTATTGTTAGTAACTGTAAATCGTTTTACGGCTGTAATTATGTTTACGTACACCAATAATATGCAGTTTTGAAAATCATCGAATGGCACAATATAATTATAATATTTAAATCGTTACCTATATTTTACTATGCAATGTATTACTATGTACTACTTATTGTAAATATTTTTAACGATATGTGTCTGTGTACACTACACAGTTGTGACGATATGCATTTTCCGATAAACATAACTACGCGCATATTATAACATAACATGTATTTTAATATAAAGACTGTATAAAAAATATGTTAATACAATCATGGCGGATATCTCGATAGAGGAGCAGCGTATATATTACAAAGTTGTAGTCAGTGTTAATATTCTGGGTTAGAGATATTCAACAACAGTTTATTATTATTATTATATTGTTATTCATGCATTCCTATGTAGTCTTTAATCAACTACCTACTAATCTTTTAATTTTTAAATTATTATTTTACGTTATTTTGAAAGTAAGTATCGTCATAATTAAATAGACTCACCAAAAATCAATTATTAAAAATAATAATATATTATTTTTTTAATCCAGTCAATGAGTGTAAATTAGGTACGTATGTTCCATTGGAATTTTTAAATTCACCATAAATATATATATATATATATATATATATATATATATACTATTTAGTTATGTTTTTTACATATTCTGACAGTACATATTTAAACGGTAGTTCAATTTGTATAGTTTCATCAAGCATAGTTTTTATTTTAGGTCATCGAGTCAGCAACGAGTAAAACCATGAGTGGGTTGCTAAGACGTAAAGTTTATTAACAAACAAAGTTTATAGTTAATTAAAAATTTTTAATTTAAGAAAATTTAGTAGCGCAAAGCGCAGAGTTGCAAAATTTAACCATCAAAATTTCATTACATACCTACCGACTGTCGTCATAAATAAGGAACAGTAGCAGACCACAAAATGCCGGTTACCGGAAATAATATATTTATGTTAGAAGTGATCGTGTACCGCGTGACCTTGACGGACCAGGTTCAGATACATAATACATGTCCGGTGTGCGTATGCTTCCGGTTTCCAGGACTGGTTGAATTGGTGGTATGCGAGGGTGGCTTTTGTGCCGACGGTAAGGTTGGCGGTGGTGAAATATTGATGACCTACGGCAAGTCATGTTTGTTCGCAATTAGCAATGCGGACCTTTGCCGGATAGCCCGTGACTTTCGCGCGATAATCAGCGTTAACAGGCGCGTGGATGGTGAACAGCAAATGCGATACGTCGCACAAACGCATCTCGAATTCGACCGGACGTTTACCGATGTTATACTTAATCCCAACCAAGCTGAAAGGTTTCGGAAACTGAAAAAGGTAACATCAAAAATAAAATTCACAAAACTAATGAAATGATCCTGTTATACCTGTCGTTAATTTTTTGTCATTGTCATACATTAAATAAAAATCGCGATGTGTTTCCCGATTAGGTCTTGCCATTGTATGATAATGGCCGTCCGAATCCTGTTGGCACCATAGAACTCTTTGTCCGTTTGACTTCGCAGGGGGATTTAGTGGTGACTCATTTCAACCGTGCTCCGGATAGTAATAATTATCAGTACAAATCTGTTCCTATACAAATGTCGGAGACAAAATGTTCCGAAAGAAGATCACTTCCAAAGAAAATATGCAAACATAAAACTTCGTGTAGAAATAAACTACCGAAGTCCAAGCAAGGTAATCATGACCCATCGTTATATACAAGTTAAAAAGGAATAGTTTAATTTTCAACTTACTATATATTATGCAAGGTATTTTAAAAGCGTTTTCAAATTATTATTTTTTTTCGAGTTAGGTGCTTATCTAAAAGTTACTAAGAATTATGAAGTATTTTTCAGCTTGGTTTATATAATTTTTCCAACTACGCTTTCGCTAGCTAGATAAAACATATTTAAATCATAAAATTATTTAACATATTTTATATTATCTACAATCCAATTTAATTTTAATTTTACTATTAAGTCTATACATTTTGTTTTAAACAGTATTCATTGAATTTTTATAATCGATGACGTATAATTTTATTTTAATATGCAGTTAATACACAGTCTTCACTTGTCTTATTCCTAACCTAACCACTAAAACTGTAATAAAAATTTTGTACCTGAGGATAAATCACCGCCACCTCTACTCTCTCTTCATAGATCTATCACTGCGTCTAAACAGAATGATAATATATTACATTTTCATATGTAGATCCACATTGCGACAAAGAAATAAGACAGGCTAACTGCATTTTGACGATGATGGAAAAGTTAAAAGCTTTGTACAAAGAGATGGAGACAACTTCACTGGCGCAAAATAGCGAGTTTGATACAAACAAAACTGATCGCGGAAAACCGTGCATGTTCGATCTGAATTGTCCAGTCGTTCGTTGTCCGTTCAGGAAAAGCCAACCAGAAAACGCGTTTGTCGATCACCTGATCAACGGTACCCGTCCCGATAATGACCAGTCTCCGAATAGTTCATTGGATGACCGTGAAATTGTGGACGATGCAGATTTATTCGTTATAAACGTGGGTCGGGTGGACCCGTGCCGGGTGATCACGCCACCGAAGTACAAGGACGGTTGTTCGCAGTGTTTTGAAACGGACTTTCCCAAAAAATAAGTTCTTTCATCATGTTCTATTGTATCGTTAGTTATAATTGAAGTTTGGTGTTTGAGTGTTGTCTTTGGGTTGTGCGGTTTTTTTTGTTGGTATAATGTATCACCGACATTTGTACAGAGTATTATTGCTATCCGGATCACGGTTGACATGACTATTCGTAAATTCTTATGTGAAGTCCAACAGATAAGAATTTTTTGCTGCTCACAAGATTTTGACGGTCATTGTCGTACAAAGCTAAGACTTGGTCGCGTAACACACCATAATTTTCATTAAATGTGCGATTGAAAAGTTTAACAAATAGGATAATTTCACTAGTTTTGTGAATTTCTTTTTTTGATATAACCTTTTTCAGTTTCCAGGAACATTTCACTTAGTTGGGACTGAGTATGACATTGGTGACCGTCCAATCAAATTTGAGTTAAGACTGTGTGACGTATTGCATTAAATTTGCTGTTAACTATGCGCCTGTTCACGCTGATTATTGCGCAAAAGTCGCGCGGTGCTGATCGTGAACAAGCATGACTTGCCGTTGGTAATCAATATTTCGTCTCCACCATCCTTCCTATCAATGCAAAATCCACCTTTGCATATCACCAATTCAACCAGCTCTGGGAATTAGAAGCATACTCACACCATGAATTGTGCATATGGATCTGATTCGTTAGCATTACACGTTTGGCTTAAACTGTTGTCGAATAAATTACCAAAGAAAAATTCTAACAAACAATTTTATTCAGCATAAACGTAGGTATGAAACAATTTCAATAAAAAACACAAAAATATATAAATTATACGGAACACGTATACTGTTAAAAAAAAAAACTAGCAATCTTCAGATGATGATACCACACGAGAATGACGTTACGCAAAATACCGTTCTTACCTTTGTAATAAATATTTTCTTTGTTGTTATAGAATTAAATGTTGCATATAAGGTGTTATGATATAATTATATATAGAAAATCTAACATTTTTTTATACTGATATAAAACTTCTAATCATAGAACAAGAGTACTTAAGTAATAGTTTATGATAATAAATATTAGTAACAGAAATAAAATGACAATATAAAAATAATATAATACATTTTTATTATTTTACTAGGCTTTTGATTTTTCCATTTCAGATTTTTTTTTTCTGATTTTTCGTAATGAGTAGTGATGGTTTAAGTATTGTAGAAAAGTTCATTTCAAAACACTGAACAAAAGTTATAGTATGATCAAACTGTCGTCGAACAACTAGCAATAAAGAAAATAAACGTCTATAAATTATTATTCTACACATGCTCGTCTCTCTAAAAAATAAGAATATCGATAAAAAAACCATCGTAAAAGTGCATTTGTATATGTTTTTAAATATAAGTTAGATTTAGAATATTAGTTAGATCCTCCTCATCGACAATGTAAAAAAGTTGTGTGTCGAACAATGTAATTTAATAATATATATTATTGAAAATTATAAGGATGTGGGTTTTGCCCGTTCATTCATGATTTCAGTGATTATACACGTGTGTGCATAAATTATGCGACTTATGTAAAATATTCAGACAAGTTCCAACACCTGTTACAAGCAGTTTTGTGTACGATTTTGTTAAACTTAATCATCAACTTAAATCACTATTATGTTCCTATAATTCGTTGCACGGCGTGTTGTATAGGCAAAATAGGTACTTTATAAAAATAATACCGAGCTAAAATTTTAAACTCCCCTAAAATAATGTATATTCTCCGAAAAATATTTTAGTACCATATTACGCATACACGGATTTCCCTAAACCATAAGATACGTATTACACTTATGTTAGTTCCTCATCTAAAATAAGTAATAAAGTTACTTTAATTCGCATTTATTTTTATTAATTCATATTTTATAAAAGGTCCATACATTTTTCTTTAATCATCAATAAATAATAATAATCAAATAGTTAGCTGCGCGACAAAAAATTACTCAAGTTCGTACTATGAGAATAATTTTATATTATTACAATAATATATATAATTTTAATTCAACTAAAATGATGGTGATTATAAATTGTTTTGAATATAAAATATGAATAAAGAAATAGAAATACTAATATAACTGAAATTAGAAACACAAATATTTTTGGAGGTTAATTAGAACCACTTCCAAGTGGTGTTCTTTGGATTACGCTAAATAGTTCTAATATTTTTGAGGTGATAAAATATTTTTTAGGGAATTTACCTACTATTCAATTTTTTAGGAGAGTTTACATATTGTGCTCATTATTATACCATGCATATATTCTGTTCAATAAGTTAAGAAACAGTCGGCGGCGATCAATTTTCGTCGGCCGAAATCCAAGCAACGTCTATTCGTCCTCCCTATCGAGCCAACGTTTTATGTCTACCATGTACTTAATCCACGCCCCTACGTATTAATCAGCCACTGACTATATTTCTTAGCTTGAACAGAGTATAGATAATGCTAGTTTGAACATTATTTTAATCAAAACCTTAAGTGTTTGCAGTTAATAAATGAGATAAAAATGTTTTTTTTTTTCCGTAAAAATGACTGTCTCCTCAATTATTTAAAGACTACTGAGAATTTTGATTTTGACATCTCAAATCATAATTTGTAAAACAATACGTTCATAGATTTTAATATTTTGTGCGTACTATTCACCATCTTTCAAAACTACTTTTAAAGTCGCATTCACTCCTATTTTTTTTTATTGTTCCTATTTTTGATTTTAAATGCGCACGAGTACATGCATATTCTATGGTTTTTCAGTTTACTAAATTCTCAACTCTACTCATATCCGGGTGTTATTCCGTGTTTGTTTTTGCACACATACTATAACTATGTCTATAATACTAGAATTTTATCAGAACGCAATATTGCCTGAGCTTTAAAATGTACACATAACTATTTAAATAGGTATTAAATAAGTTTCTGACCCCAGTTTTAAAAATGATTACATTAATGAATTATTTACGTAAATGAACTACAGTCCGTGTAAATATTTTAATATTCACGAAAATATTTGTATTTTCTCATTTTGATTTTAGACTAGTAAAAGAATTTTTAAGTTAGCTTAAATTCAAATTTATTTCTTGTTTATCAGTGTTACAGCAATTATCCAGAAAATCTATTTTAAATAATATAAAATTGTGAAAACTTCGAAAATCGTATAAAATAAACGGTTGAACATTTTTCTTTTTTTTTTTTTTTTGTGAACATGTTTTAAAAATCATATCGAAAAAATGGTTGTTTTGATTTTTTTAAATATCTAATACTCGAAAAAAATTTTAATTTCTTGATTTTAAATACAAAATTAAAAAAAAAAAATCGAAAAATTTATTTAAATGTAGTGCAGATAACAATTGATAATTTTAAAAGAAAGTTAAAAATGTTCAATTGAACAAAAGTTTTTGAAACTGTCAATTCACCGTGAAACACTCCGTATATATTGTATTAAATATAATAAAATATAACACATACAACAACGACGTGATAAAAGAAATTGAATTGAGTAACATTTTGATCAAAGTGAAAAATATGAAATAAAACTGAAATGACAACACATTTCGAAAAAAAAAATTATTTTTAACGTTAGAAATTGTTTTGATTCAACTTCGATGTTTGACCGATCTCTATAAGGGTACTATACTTTTTAGAGAAACTGTTAAAGGGAACGCTTTCTAAGCGAGGTCAAAAGTAGTAGTTTTGTGTTCCCTTTCCTTTCCCGCTCCTCCCATTACACTATGTCAGCTTTGTACAATATTTACCACTCTGTCTTTCCGACTTTCTGTCTTTGTATCTTTCGCACACACGCACACACACACACACACACACACACACACACACATTCTGCGTGTGAGCATATATTTTTGTATACAAAGTCGTCGAACTCGGGAGGGCGGCAGGCTACAAGGATATACGGAGAGCGCCAAGGAAGACCGACAGCTTCGCGCGCGTCGTTTATTGATCCTGTCGCGAGCGCCCGTCGAAGGTCACAGCGCATGAACCGCCCGCGCGCTCCCGATCGAGCGTGTGTACAACCGTATGTACACATAGTAGCCATATATTTATTATTACGTTTTACACGCAGCCTATAACATACACAGTACGCATCATATATATATATATATATGCACGTGCGATACGGAGTTTTATACTCATATATGTATGTTGTATTTACGAGTGTCGTATATATATATATATATAATATATATACTGTGTAATATATGGTATACCCACGCGATATTATACGTAGGAATCATGCGCAGGATTTGCGTAGTACACTATACTTTGTCGCCTGCAAGCCTCGCCTTTTTCACGACCCCGCACTGTTATTCACTCTTATACAACACACTGTACTGCACGCACGCATTATTGATAATATCGATAATGACATTTGAATAATATTATGTTCGTCATTATAAATGGACACGTTGAAACGTCCGAATAGTCGACGTCCTGAAAGTGTCCAACACTTCGACAACTGAAAATATATTATCATGACATGTATCGTATTGTGTGTAAAACAAACTGAGGTGCCTGATATTAGATTGTATAGTTCCTATACTCCTCTAGGGTGGCATAGACTATATATAGGAACTAGAAAACTTAAATATAAAAAAAAAAAAAAATAACTGTCAAATAGATAATATGCGGTCATTAAACATAATCGTTTTAATAATAATATTTTAATTTCTTTGTTTTTCTCGGTTATCTTAAAAATTACTGGGAAATTTTACCACTCCCGAAGTACAGTAATCTAGATTACATTCGTTTTCAAAAACCTCTCTCAATGTTGCGACGATCGAAGTATTTTTTCTAATAGAAAGTTTTTGGTAGAAAACTCTATTTTACTTATTTTTATGCACTATAGTTTGTAGTCTGAATTGGCGATAGGCATATAAAAATATTTGTAAGTGATTTTTTTCACGGAAAAAAATAATAGGTAGAAAAACGAAAACACTATAACGATTTTAGAATGCTATTAAGGTATTCGAAGGAGGGAGTGGGGATGTGCA